GCAAAAAACCAAGAGAAACAGATCCTCTAAGTAGTTTTAGAGGAAAAAAAGTTACTTTACGTGTGTGGGGGGGGAAATCAGCAGATTTGTTTGCATGTCTGTTTTTAACTACTCATTTGCTTTACTTTGTATAGATCAATTCTCAACACTTGAAAAAAAAAATTAACTTTAAGTCCACAATGTAAGGACAAAACTAGGCCATCTGTATCCCATCTAAACAGCCAGTTTGTTCTGCAATATGTAAATGTAACAACTTATTCAGGGAAGAAACCCAAATGAGCCACTGTCTCATTTGCTACTGTTTCTAATTAATGAAATACCCAGAAACAATTCCTGCTTTTGTTGCACCAGAGTATTTTGATAACTAGGCTAATACACTCAATACTGTACTCAAAGCTGCACAATGGCTTAATTAGTCAGGAAAAGGAGTGGCTGATTCTCATTTCCAGAAGATCCTTAAGATTAAAAAAGGATACACAGCACCACACTTCAGTTTGTATCTCCAACTGCTTAGCTTTTCATGCCTGTTTCACAAAAGAGGAGAATTTTCTGTAAAAAAGTTTTTCTGTCAATACCTAGTAGCTAAAAGAATAAAATACCTGCACCAGTTTTAACTATCTCTCCCCCAGGACACATCTAAGTATGTGGCTACATTCTTTGGAGAAATTCTCTGCTTTAGCAGCCAGATTTCAAGTCCTGTCTCTTCTCCTAATGACTCAACGCAGTCTTTTCACAACCGCCATCTCAAGTAAGAAAAGAACGAGCTGAGCACGCAAGGAATCGTACTTTGAAAAAGAAATAATCAGTACATATGTCATAATAAATAGCTATACGACATGCAATGGCCCTAAGATTATCAAAAGTGTCTCAGATCAAAAAGCTGTAAAGCTGAATTATACAATCAGACCTCAGGCTCTTAAAACGAAAGTGCTTGTTTGATTATGACTGACAGGCTTACAATCAGGAGTTCACATCTCTTATAAAACAATTATTTGGCCACATGCAGTTCATATTATATTAAGCAGGGAAGGAAGTGAAGAGCTTTCAGGTTGGAAACCTAATTATTAATTTCTCGCTATTTTTAAGAATAAAACAAGGTTCTAATTTCTGAAGAAGGAGGCCCTGACAAGGTAGCCCGCAGTCTGCGCTTTCAGTTATCTTAAAACCCCCTTTGGATACAGGAAATAATAGAAAGTGCTTTCTCTCCAAATGCAGTTTTCAGGGATTGTTTCCTGCCATTAGTTTTCTTTAAGTAACCCTATTATTATCAAAAGCAAGATGTTTAAAAAGCACAAACAATGTATAAGTTCATGGCTCTGCACTGCTCGGTAGCACAGCAGTATGCCCGGGCCAAGTACCTGTCTCCCACTGGCATCTGCTGGGATTTGTTGTTTGACTCCCCTTTGCATTTTGAATCTCTCTCTCCCACCAAATTCCACCACAAGACTGCACTGGATCGTTTGCTTCAAACACTGGCCCAGCATTTTGCAGGCACATTTACTTCTCTTACAAAGAGAAGCAGGTAGGAAGAACATTTGCTCTTCAGACAATCCCATTTCCTCAAACAAGTGCCATGAGCTCCAGTTATGAACACATGAAGGTCTAACCCATAAATGGAAATGACTGCTGTCCTCAGGTGCTCTCTGGAATCTCTGTTTCCATCTAAATATAACCAGAATTCTGAGAGGAAAACCTTCAAACACAGTCCTTGACTACCAAAAGACACTGTCTCCTTACAGAGGAGCAAAAAAGTAAAGAGGAAACTCTCCAAATATCGTAGAGGATGCTAATCCAAATAGCAACAATAACGGACACATTGGGAGGTTTGACACTGCCCCATTCCTGCTGTGCTCAAAGCCAGCCTACAACGACAGAAGTAGTTCTGGGTGTCACACAATTCCTGGAGCAGGCAAACGTGCAGAATTCATCCTCATTTGACGCCAACACAGATCACAAGGAAACTAATCCCAAAATATTCCCTAACTGTTGTTAGTTATTAAGGATGCTGTGTGCACCTAAACAAGCCTTGGTGCTATACTGGGGAGAGCGATGGATGCATGTCACTCAGCAGCTTGAGAAAGAACAGGACCTCAATCCCACTTCCAGACCATCTGCCAGCCCACAGAACTGTGCCAGAGCAGGATTCCTCAAAACCCCTCTGAAAAATTACGGCAGTGCATAAACTGGATGGTGGGTAATGCAATATCTCCCATGCTTACTGGGCTCCATAAAGAAATTCCAACTCTGATACCACCTGCAAGCTAGAAAATAAGTTTCCACTGTCCAAGTGGAGAAAAGTAATCTTTGCACAATCAAAGTCCCTACGGAAGACTGAAACAGGCCCAACGGTCCAATGGCTACAGGCAGCAGGGAATAACAACCTGATCCTAGAGTTCAGAACCACCCTACCAGCCTCACTAAAGCTGCACTAACAAATACTGAGGTTATCAACCAGCAACATGTTTGTAGCAAGACCCTGCCCTCCACATGGGGATATCATGCCTTCCTCATACCAATTACAGCTATTCCTGAAGAGAGGAGCTCTTGAATCTCTCCCTGAAGGCTGAGAGTTCAAAATCTACCAACGGTAATGATTCACGTGGTAAAAAAACCAAACTCACAACCACCAAGAAAACAAACCCCAAAAATCCCCAAAAAACCCCACGAGAATTAATGCTCATGCTTGAGAGCAATGCAAGGACTCTTTTATTTTGCTTCAGTTTCAAAGCTGTGGCATTGTTAGTCGAAGTTGCCTGTGTGGGTAATCCCAGAGCACACAACATACCACCGACAAAGAGAAACCAGCACAGCATGTCTCTACAAGGAGACTTACTACCTCTATAAGACATATGTGGATTAAAGAAACTCAGTTGCAGAAAGCAGCTGCATTATCCCATAAAAACAGATCCTATGGCTTACTAAAAAGAGACACAGATCATTTGCCTGCTGATCTGACAACCAAAATCCTCTTCCGATCTCATGGATATTTATTAATCTGGTTCTGAGGGTTCACAACCAAGTTCTCACAGCTTAGCAAGTGCACATCTGCTGACCACATGTACTCACTCAATCTAGAGGAAAGGCACGTGGAATAGGTTTGAAGCAATGCATTCTAATGTCATTTTTGCAATAGGCTCCAAGGTTGCAAGTAGGGAGGTACTACATATCAGGTCATGCTAAATCTCAAAAAGTTACAACTTGGAACTCTGAAACCAGGTCGAAAGAATCCAAATTCCAGATCCCATGTGACAGAGACACTCTGGTGTAGCCAGAGTGTAAGCCTGTAAGCTTTTCTCTGAAGAGACTCCCTTGCAGTTTCTGCAGGCTACACAGGGAATGGCTACGTAAGTGAAAAAGGCATTGCCTTTCGCTTTCCTTCATAGCTCTTCCCAGAAATGCCCACGCCTCGCTTGTGCAGCTGGTTCCAACCTCTTGTCCAAACGGGCCAGATCAGCACAAACTGCTCATTTCCACCTTCTGCTCCAGCCAGGCGCACCCAGGCGGCTGGGCGGGGGTGCGCTGCACTCAAAGGAACAGCTCCACCTGCGGATCAGATGGAGTAGATCCCTCCGGCAGCGGAGCAATAACAAGCATCTGGGAGCAGTAAGATCAGCACAGCTGGATCCAAAGACCGACATCAGCGCACAGCCCATTACACAGCACAGCCCCTCTCCCAGATGCGTGCCACCCCAGACAAGGCTTTTCCACGGGGACCAAAATATCCTCACTGACAGGAAAGATGAAGTTGCCTTTTCTCCTCAGCACGCATGCTTTCCACAGCTTCGTGGACACATAGATCAAAAAGTGAAAGGGTTACCAAATTACTTTTTAAGGACTTGTTTAAAGAAAACGGTAATAATTTGACGGCCAATTGGGCTTTCTGGGGGTCCCATTTATGCTTTCAGTACTCGAGAGATTAGCAGTACTGTCAACACCAGTAGCTAACTACAGTCTTCAAGAAGAACGAAGAGGAAGAACTGACATTTAACACAGTAAATTCTGAAGCAGAGCTGAAGAACAACTGTACAGAATTTTTATACTGTATATCAAGAGCTGCTGCAGCCTGACACATGGCCAGGTTGTGGAGCGACACAGAGTTTAATATTACCTTCAGTGAAGACCTCCCCACATGAAAGTTCCTCAATCACCGACACACACCAGTATTTTGACCTTATAATCCGGGCTGAGCTCGCAGCTCCGCTCCGGGAGCACCATTTCCCTCCCTCCCATCGGGAGCCCGCAGCTATTTGCGGCAAACGCAGCAGGAACTTTATCAGCACGTGAAGCCCGTGTTTACCTCGGGCCATCTCCAGAGGCACTGCCTGCCCGTCGAAAAGCAACACCTGAACCGCCAGGCTCCCCTATTTTCATTGTTCGGAACGATGCTAGTGTCGCACTTGGCGATCCTGAAGGTCTTTTCCAACCTTAACGCCCCTGTGATTCGAATACCCACGGGCGCGTCAGGACGGTGCGAATTGTAAAGCGATGGGACGGGCGGGATGAGCAGCCCAGCGCCATCACCCCACCGAAATTAGGGTTTGGGGCTTTAAACGCCGCGTGTCCCTCGGACAGCGGTCAACACATACATACATACGTACATACATACGTACATACACAAACACACACACACACACACACACTGGGCACACGAACGCGCTCGCAGCGGAGCCGCGGCGCCTTCCCCGCAGCGCGCACATCGCATAGCGGGCACCGCAGGGCCAGGGCCCGCCTCGCCACCCCCGCGGCAACCCCGGGAGGGCACCGAGCACACCTAGGGAGGGGGTGTCGGAGCCGCAAACGGGCCCCCGCGAAACCCCCCCAGAAAAACCCTCCTGGTCCATCCCCGCCCGTGACCGCTCCCCCCCCAACCCCGCCGCTGTGAGGGGGGGGGCGCGCGCCGCGACCGTTGGGAAGGTCGCGAGCCCCGGGGTCAGGTGCGCGCGCGTGTGCGCGTGTTGTGTGTACGGTGCGGGGGGATGTCCGCGCCCGCCGCCACTCACCTGGAGACGCAGTTCTCCAGCACGGAGCTCTTGCCGGCGCTCTGCCCGCCCACCACCGCGATCTGCGGCAGGTCGAGCAGGCAGTTCTGGCCCAGCGCCGCGAAGGCGTCCTGCAGCCGGTTGACGAGCGGGATGAGCCCCTCCATCCCGCCGCCGCCTCCTCCACCCGCCGCCGCTGACAGGTAACGGGCGGCGCACTGCGCATGCGCCCCTCCCTCGGGCTTGGGGGCGGGGCCTCCGCGGGGAGAACACGCCCTCTCCCGGTGCGGGTCCCGCTGTTGTCCCAAAATAGGTGCTTTTTCCCGGTGTTTACGAGGCTGGTCCGCACACGGAGTCGAGGTGTGTGATTTATTTACAGTTCTGTGCAGAAAGGGGGGCTGGGTGGCAAGTCCTTTTGCCATTCACGACGACTACCAAAAGTTTTCACATTTTAGCAAACAACGGCATTAGTGTTCATCGGCTACAAGTTGCCTGGTTGTCCTGTTAATTAGTACTCTATCTTCCATGGGTTAATGATTCTCTCGTTTCTCATGCTAATTAGTCCGCATGCTCCATCTTTCTCTTCTTCTGAGCTGGTGGGCTTCCTGGATTGGTGGTCTGTGAGTCGGTGGTTGTGATCTGCCCCTGCCAGAGTTGCCTGTTACCCAGTCAGAGATGATTTCAGCACAGTTGCTGAGTTGACTTTATTGGTTTCTTCCTTATCTTGGTGGTTCTGCCAAACGTCCTTGTAAACCATACATTCGGAATTCTTTATGTCCACTGTCAGCGGTACATCCTTCTTCCCGAGCTTCGGCAACCTCCCCTTAGGTCTGAGCTCATTGAAACATATCAAGCCCTAAACCTTAACAAGGCAATTCTACTGACAAGTAATTTATCTTTCTAACATCAGGACATCACTTAGAGCTTGCTATTTGTTTCACGGATTAAATCTCCTTTCTTGCTGATTAGGCTTGAAAGTAAACAGAGATTAAACATCAAAGAATGTCTTTTCTTAAGAGAATTTTACATATTCCACATTTTGCAACACCACCAAGAAGGGCTGAGCCACGGGAGCCCAAGGTGGTGGTGGGGTCCTCTCTGCTCCTTCTGTGGGGACACCAGCAGAGCCTCTCACCGGTCACTGGCCCGGGGTAGCCGCTCACAGGGAGCATCCATGGGGTCCTCCTGGCCTTCTGGAACCCCCACTGACAACTCGAGTGGCTGGGTGGGCTCATCCCAGCTTTAGATACCAGCACTTTAAGTACACCCAGCTTTAGATATTTATAAATATCTAAAGAAGGGGTGCCAAGGAGATGGAGCCAGGCTCTTCTCTGTGGTGCCAACCACTAGGATGAGACACAACGGGCAGAAACTGATGCACGGGAAGTTCCACCTGAATACAAGGAAGAAATTCTTTACTGTGTGGGTGACCACACACTGGAACAGATGCCTAGAGGGCGTGGAGTCTCCCTCACTGGAGACATTCCAGAACCATCTGAGCTCAATCCTGTGCCATGTGCTCTAGGATGACCCTTCTTATGCAAGGAGGTTGGACCGGATGACCCGCTGTGGTCCCTTCCAACCTGACCCATTCTGTGATTCTATCCCTGCCTGAGGAAAAGCCATCCGTGGTGCTGGGACCCTCAGGCACAAGATGCACAGTTTGCCCAGGTCAGCACACTGACCATGAGGCCATCAGGCTGCCCCCTGATCCCAGCTGGCCACCTCCTCCTGCTGGTGGAAAGGGCTGCAGTGTCCCTTGAGAGCCCCTGAACACAGGACTGCGGCACCCTCCGGCACCCAGGAGAGGTTTCCATGCCCTCTTCCTCAATGACTTTTCTCACCAGGCTGGGAAGAGGGCCAAACTGGGAGCCCATGGAGGAGCCAGGTTCCGCTGGCCGGCATGGGACCTGGCAGACAACTGGCTTCAGCACTTCCCGATCTGCGGAGCGGGGAATTTTGGAGCAGTCCCAGTGGCTGAATTCCTCCCAGCTCCTGCCTGCAATGGGAACAGGAGCAGCAGGGACCACGATCCGTCCCTGCAGCATGTGAGTGTCCCTGGCAAACCTCACAGACACTCGGCCATGGGTGGAGTGCTGGCAGGTCAGACACCTTCACCAGAGCCGTGGCAGGGCAGGCCCAAGGAGGTGGGTCTGGCCGAGCTGGCAGCAGGTGGATGGCTCAGGAACGGGCTGGGAAGCAACAACAAGATCCAAGCCATGTCGCTGCAGTGGGTTCAATTTAAAAATGCACACTGAGGCTGAGCTAAGAGCTCAGGCAAACAACAGAGATGAGGTTTATCTGTGATTACTGGCAGCAGTCACAACATGAAAATATCCAAAACGCAGGCTTTGGAGTCCTGCAGCGATAAAAGTTATCCTCTGTATTAAACCAGACACCGGCCTCACTCAGCGTGAAAAGCAAAACAAAAGGGAACTGTGAACATCCCGCAGGCTGACGGAGACTAATGATCTGGAGGATTATCAAAACTTCTTGGCCAGAGCTCCCAATAAGTGTGAAAAATTACTCCCTACAACAGACTAACTTATAACTCTGGAAACAAATGAACAGTTTTTAATCGGCATAATGCAGGCTTTGCCACTGCAGTTAGACCACAGCATCTGGGAAAAGCCTTGCCATCATTCCTATCTAGATGGGGCCTGGGAGTTATTGACATAATTATGCCAATTAGCAGCATGATTATGTCTTTCCCCACTCCTGAGAAAGCAGGCTATGCCAGGAGGCACTAGAGTAGCTGCCTGGCCTTCCTCCAGTTCATGGGTTTCTACGGAGGCTGGAAGCCGGGAAGAACAGGATCACATTCTGGCCAAATCTGCCTCGTCTGAGCATCAGAGCACTGTGTGCTGCCCCCATGAAATAATTAAGATCCGTAGAAGAGCAGCCTGGCAATAGAATTGCATCTCCACAGGAGACAAATGAAGATCGGAAAAGGCACGATGCCTGAGGAGTAACACTATGCGCACCTGATAACCTAAGGATAACCTGTCCTTTCCCTTCCAGTCTTTAGATTACATCTTTGTTTGCTTCCGTGATTAAGATAACATAAATTAAGAAAACACCTTAGACTAGGAAAAGTCTGAGTTATTCCCCCAAGTCTGGGAAGTTCACAAATCAAACTTTTTGTCCGGTGAAGCAGAGTTAAAGCTGCCAAGTCACCACACTCACCCCACCACTCCATCACTTACAAAAATCCACACTCCCCTCAGAAAAAAAGCCACAAGCAGCCAAGGATAGATTTCCCATCTTCTGGAAAAAGCACAGACATTTTCTTTATACATGCCCCTCTTACCATGAGGGTGCTCGTTTTTCCAACAATTCCAAGAGAGCAGTGAAGGAGAGAGGAAGGGCACCCGAGTGTATCTTCAGGTCTCTGCTTTTCCTAAATGACTTCTCTGGACGGCTTGTTCCAAACCCCCGTGTGGAGCCCAGCCTGGCTTTCTGAATTTGCCAAGATTCATAGTGGCTAAATTAAAGGAAACAGGGGTACTGCTATGAGAGACCATTGCAAAGCTTCATGTAATGAATAACCATGAAATATAAGACACAAAGCAGTGTCAGGAGGCCATGCAAGAAACTGTTTTCTGGGGAAGCGCTGAGTGTGATCCTCAGGAGCACAGAGCTGCTCACTGGTTAACCAGCTAAACACAATCTACTTTTACCCTCTGCTCAGTTGTGCCCCACAATATTTATCATTTCGTTTTGCCATGTGCCAGGCTCAGCAAGCAGAGAAAACCTTTTCTGACCACCTCTCCTGGCACAGCAGGAAGGCTGCCCTGCTCCCCAGGGTGACGTGCCAACTCCATCAGCGTGGTCTGATGTCAGATGTCACCACCTCCAGCAGCCTGGCCAGGGGCTCCTAGCCCTGTTGAAGCCTCCAGTGCATTTCAGATCAAGCCTACAGACAGCAAGTTTGTCCTGCCATGACTTTCAGAAAAATATATGGCAAAAATAGCCTGGCTTCAGGGTGCAGCTGTAGCATTCAAGGCCACAAACTTACCCACAGACAATTCTCCCTAAGCAGGCAGCGTGACGTTAAAGCTGAGGACATTTGGATCAGGTCCTCAGGCTGCTTTATAAACACACACCAGTGCAATTCCCTTCATGAAAAGTGGGTTGTATATAAAATATCAGAGCAGACTTGCAGATGCCTGCAGTGAAGAGCCAGGCAGGATCCCCCTGCCGGCAAAGCAGGCAGGACCCTGCCTGTGGGGAGCAGAGCACAGAGGAGGCTGCATCCTCTCCCCAGGAAGAATTAAGAAGAGGCGGGTTCCTCCACACTTGCTCTTCTCCCCGGGGACTTTCCTCACCTCCTTCTTGCTTCAGATACAAACCCAGAGTCTTGCAGAGCTTTTCAGGCAGCTGATCAGCACAGAGCAGGGGGAGGTGTAGGCAAGGAGCCCGTGCAGGGGGAGCTCCCAGGTTCTCAGCAGCACCTGGCTCTGCAGTGGAGCTGCACGAAGGTCCCAGCCAGCGCTGTGCCTGTGTATCTGCCAGGAGCAGAGCTCCAGAGCTCAGACCTTGAAGCTGCAAAAGATAGAATTCAAGCCAGTGAAAGAAAGTCAGAGCGGCCCCAGAGCTGTGATTAGATGTAGTGGCTGCAGCATTTCTCCCTGTAAAGAGGATGTGCTTTCTGCTTTCCCCCCACAGCCTGGGGCACTGCTGACTCACTGATCGTGGGACAGTGACAACCCAGTCTCTGTCCCATCTCTCCTCCCTCCTGCCCTGTGACCTCCAGCTGCATTCTTTAGTCGGGTGCATCCAGTTCCAGGGTAGAAAAAGGGCACTGTGCTGCATTGCAGCCTGCAGAGGCATTTCCCAGCTGCCCTGAGCACCCCAGGAAAGAGCTGTACTCCCTCACTGCAGCCTGGCAGCACGCCTGCTTCCTTGGTCACAAAGCCAGGCAAGCCAAGTGCTTCCCTAAGGAAAGATTTCATGTCCAAAACACTCCCCATATGCTTCCACCCTCCGGGAAGTGGCTGGTGCAGCCCTTGCTACGCTGTGATTGTGCCATGCCTGGACAGCAGCAGCATCACCAGGCAGCCAGGCTCTTCCCAGGTGAAGGGAATCAGCCTCAGCACTTAGTCCCTGCGGCTTTTATTACTGCAAAATCTCTCCCAGCTGCTTGATGTACTTTCAGCTGGTGACGGTATGTCCCCTGTCCACCTCCAACCTCTTCCCTAGAGCCCAGCCACCTCCAGTCCTTCTGCAGAGCAGGGACCTGTGTTGTGACACCTGAGGAGGTTTTACCATCTGAGGTGTCTGTGTGGCACCCCACCTCTGCCTGCCTCACAGTGTCACTGTCCTGCCAGCTGCCTGCCCACACAGTCACCCCGGGGCCAAAGAGCCTCCATGGCTGGGCATGGCTGGCTGCATCCCTCCACCTGAGATCAGGAATCCCAGGGCTGACCCATCAACTCCCTGTGTCTCATTCACTGGAGCGGCAGCAGGACTGGGATGTGATGCTTTGAGAAGGATTGGGACCACACCAGACCAAATCATCCCCAGCTGGCTACAGCCTCACACCTGAGCCATGGGACGAGTTATGCACCGGTCTGTTTTTGTGCTGGGAAATCCAGAAAGGAAAAAGTCAACATCTCGGCGCCAGTGGAGGTTGCTAAGTGACAGCAGAGCTTGTTTCTATCCCACCGCTTACAGCGTGGCTACGCTGCAAAGGAAGTAAGTGAGGAGTAAGGGATGTAAACATGAGTATATTGCCAAAACACTCAACAGAACACACAGTTGCCAAACATATACATTAGCTGCAAGTTTTGGCTGCCAGCAGAGAAATATTTACTACGTGTCAATTTTCCAGCCTTGGAGCATTTTACCTGCAGAGGAAGACTTTGTGTATTTGCAGCGTTCATGAATTTGCCAGTTTTCCAGCTGAAATTTATTTCCAGACCAAACTTGTAGCTGCAAGGACAGCTGCAACGAACTGAGATTTCATCCTTACATTGTTTCTAATAGATGGCTTTTGTTTTCCCACCAGGATGTGGCGTTATGCAGCATTTGGGAAGCACAACAGAAAGGCAGAACTGGACAAGGGAGGGATGAAGGCAGCCTTTGTATCAGCTCCTGGGGAAGAAAGGAGATGGTTTTGGTAAAATAAAGGGCATACACACAAACCTATGTCGTTGGAATTATGTTGAGAATTGCATACTAAGTTAAAAATAGCCTAAATGCAGCACTGCTGATCCAGTTGAGAAATTTGCCATTGCTAAGCTGGGTGGATAATAGATATCTTTCAAAACAGTGCTCATCACAGAGAAGCTTTAGAAACTTAACTGTGTGGGGGCAGGCAGACTTCCACCCAGCTCAGGCTCCAGCCTTGTCCCTCCCATTGCCCATGTGCTGCCTCAAACACACTACAGGAGTGACAGGGTGCCGAGCAACAGAGGGCACCTACCCACAGTGGCAGCCTTTATCTGAGGCAGGGAGCAGGCCAGCCCTGCTCTCCCGTGCCTGGGAACCATCAAAAGCACTTATTAAAAAAAGCATCTGCTCCCTCTGCATAGAAGCAGGCTAGCCCAGGGAGAAAGTAGGGCAGAGATTTGTCCCTCTGTGTGAAGGGGAGTAAAGTAGGTGGCATGGGAGAAGGGATCTGAAGAGTGGTTCCCGAAGTAGAACCTGCTGGAAAATTAAAATTAAAATACAGGCACAGAGGGGCCTGTCAGAGGGACATGCTCACTGTCAGCATGGTTGACATAGGGTCTCCTGGGCACCAACAGCCCCATCTCCTGCATCAGTGGAGTGGCCATGGTACCCACTGGTTTAGGGTCCTCCCCAGGGTGGGAGCCCTTGGGATGTGCTTTCCATGGCCCCGTGGAGCTGGTGAACTGCAAACTCTCATGCTCGTGCACCCTCTCGCTTTGCTTTCTAAGTGAAGGAGGATTTCCCAGATGGAGGAGAGCTGGGTCCTTCTGTGGAGGAAGGAGAGGCTGAGGAGGGGCACGACATCACCCCATATCCCTGTGGGACAGGGTGCATGGGCTGCAAAGCTGGGAGATGGCTCCAAGACACGGCTGCTATTGCCTCCATACTAAGGGCTAGGTGAAATCCCTCCCTGAGCCTACTTCTGATGTGTTGTTATCTCCCTGGGCTGTGGAAAGGTGCCTGTGGAAGGTTTGCTTTGGGAAGCAGCTGCCAGAAAGATGTCCTGGCTCAGGTGGCCAGCGGCAGAAGGGAGCATGGAGTGAGGGTAAAGGATCAGTGGCAAAGCATCAGAGTGCCTGAGCAGGTTTTCAACTTGCTGTCTGCAAGCTGATCCATTGTACCATGTCTCAGAGTCATTTTGGTACCAGCTGTTGCAGGGGAGAAAGACAAGCCCCCAAAAAACAGCTTCTGATGAATGTATGAACACCAGCAGGTCTCCTGCTCTGTAACCAGCCAGGATACACCAGGTCAGGTCTTCAACTAAACTTCTCAGGGAGAGACAAAATGAGGTGTCTAGGCTGGAATGGGGTGCTGTGGGAACACCCCAATGGGTATTTTCCTGCTGCCTTTTCATCTTGCAGGAAGGCTGACCAGCAGCAGCTGGGTGAGCAGTTTGGAGTGGCCAGGGGCCCAAGCCCAGGGCTGGGTCCCTGCTGGCCCAGGGGAGAGAAGGTCTGGGGGCTCAGGGTGTTACAGGTCTCAGTCCAGTGGTGATAGCTGGAGAGATGCAGAAGAGTGAAAACACAGTGGGGTCCAGTTTGGAGAGGGCAGCGGTGCTTAAGGGGCAGCTGCCTGTCCCCAGGACATGTCCTTGACGTGCAGAGGTGACTGTAGCTTTTCCAGGGTGTGGGTGCTTCAGAAATTAGCCCTAGCAAAGCACTGCAGGCCTCAGAGCAGCCCTGAGCACTTTATTCTCACAGCCCACCCACACATATCCACAACCAGGCTTGGGGCAGCACCAGGGCTCTGCAGAGACACCAGGGATGCTGGAGAGGCAGAAGAGAGGCAGCATCAGAGGGAAGGCACTGTGCTGGAGGGGAAAGAGGTGGTTGGAGGGATGTTTTTCCCACAGTGGGGAAACAATGGGGACAGACCCAATCCCACAGTCCTGCCAGTCCCACAGCACCTTCCTCCCCTCACCAGCTCAACACTGTCCCTTGCGCTCCACAGCCCTCCTCAGTCCCAGACCCCTTCCTGGGGAGCCACGCTGCAGGAAGCACCTTCCCATGCCAGTTCATCCCTCAGGCAGACCCAGGCCAGCACATGCCCCCCAGGGGTGGCAGTCCCAGCCACGGGCACCCCTCTGCTGTGGGGCCAAGGCACCCACATGAGGAGCACTCTCTTGAGCAGCGTCTCAGCCTGTCCTGAGGAGCCCCTCTCAGAGGATCCTGACAGCCTGCAGCATGTCTGCCAGCACGTATGAGCTGTCCCAGGGGCGCCCTGGCTCCCGCAGGGCCCCCTCCAGCGCCCGGGCACGTGCCCCCAGCTCCGCAGGGTCCCGCCGGCCCTCGGGGCTGGGCTGGCAGAACAGGATCTCGTTGACCTCCCCTTCGATGCGACGCGTGTAGAGCAGCGGGAAGACATCCCTGAGGGTGGCCAGGACAGACTCCTTCAGCCGGGCATCACGGCACACCAGGTTGAGCACAAAGATTCCTGCAGCAGGAGGAGAGGGGTGGGAGTTCAGCCTGTGTACACCACCCTGCTCCCTGTGGGAACACAGCTGAATCGGTGCCACCACAGTGCAAATGTCTCCCCCACGGCAGCACGAGGAGTACCAGCATCCCCCTGGTACCCTTGGCCCAGCTCCATGTCCCTGCTGCCACATGGGTCGTGGGTGGCCACGATCTGTTCTCAGGTACCGCCTACACCCTTCACTTCCAGCAACCCTTCCTGGCCCCCCGGGATGTCTCAGCCTGCCTGACCCAGCAGTGCTGCAGGCCACCTCCTCAACCCTGCTGGCACAACACCCAGCGAAACACTCAGATCCAGGACCCACCAGGAGAAGCAGATGCCACACAGCAATGCTGTCTGTGGCCACTATTCTCCAGGATGAGAAATGGTGGCACAACCCCAGCTCCACACAGAGCCAGCCAGCCTGGCCACAGGGACACAGCCAGATCTCCCCTCCTACCTTCTGGCTTGAGGATGGTTTTAACTTTCTGCAGGAAGGGCTTTTCCACAAAGGCTGGAGGTGGGCAGCTCATCCCCACTGTGAGGTCTTTGCTGTCCACGTCGAACATGATGGTATCATACTGGGCTGGGGCTGCAGGAGGAAGCACAGAGAGTTGTTATCCCATGGGACAGAGGTGAACCACACACGATTGAGAGGCAACAAATGGGATGGTCCAGACATCTCCTCTGCCATGTTATGGGTCTCTTCTCTCTCCTGGGGTTTCTCTTTCCAAATGAAACCCACAGCAGCAGCCCTTGGTGCTGAGGGAGGCAGCAAATCTAAGGTCCCCTGCACACTAGGCAAGGACAGGCTGTGAGCTGCAGAGACCTGGTGAGGCTGGAGACTGTGACACATGGCAGGAGATGGGCAGGGGATGAAAACAGCCCAGGACCTCAATCCTCAACATGTCACCCACCAGACTTGATGGGGTACCCAGAATGCTCCCCAAGAAGGTACCTTCAGCTGCCAGCTTGGCCACGTAGTCCAGGCCATCGGAGAGGTGCACTTGCATCCGGTCACCCTGGGAGAAGCCGAACCAGCGCGTCGCCACCTCCAGCATGGAGGGGTCAATCTCCACCACGGCCACATGGGCCTGTGAGAAGTAGTCATGGATGAAGAGGGGCAGGCTGCCACCGCCAAGCCCCACCACCAGCACTGCCAGCGAGGCTCCTGCCAATGGAGAACACCCAGTGAGCCACCAGGATGCCTGGCTCCAACTGCTCATCCCACCCACTATCCACAGACCACTTTGGGAAGGGTGCATGGGGCCAGAAAAGCCATTCCCCAAGGAGCTGGGGTGTGGGGACACAGGCGCACCTGCCCCCAGCACAGCCTCTCACTGCTGGCCTTGTCACCTGGGAGGGGGTCGGGGCCCCCCAGCAGGCAGAGCCCTGCGACCATGGCCTTGTGGTGCTCACAGCACAGGTAGCTCTTGTCGATGGCTGCAGGTGGCTCAGCAGGGCTGGGTATCTTCTTGTCTCTTCTCCGTTTCTTCTGGCCTGAATGACAGGAGACACCAGCTGGTAAGGCAAGGTGGGAGACAGAGGTGCCCTCTGGGGACTAGCCACCCCCAGCCCTGCCCCACCCACAGCGCAAAACCGCTCCCAGAGCTGCTCTGGGACAAGGCAGGCAGGTCCCAGCAGGACTTTTACCTTCCTCCTCAGTCTCATCTCTGTCACCTCCCCAAAAAAATCAGCCTTGGCCCCTGCCCCTTCCTGGCTGCCCCAGGTACCTGGGAGAGGTGTGGGAGCCAGGAGCCGGGCCTCCGACTGCACCACGTTCCTGTTGCGGAGGAAGATGAGGCGGCGGAAGTAGCAGGTGCCGTCTCCCTTCACGTCCTCCACCACGTACTCCCCGCTCAGGGGGCTGGTGTCCTGGTGCCGCACCGCCCGCACCCCAATGTCCCCTCCCACGGACAGGAAGGGCACCTGCAGGAAGGACAGTGACTGGTGTGAGGAAGGAAAGACTACAAAAACAGAGCCTGGCATTCCCGCTGTCCTGACAATGGCTACGGAGCCATTGGATGAAGGCAGGAGCAGTGGGATGCCACAGGACCTGCACTGGTTTCACTCCCATCCGTGTGTTGGGGGTACAGGGAGCAAACACCTCATGACTTCTTGCAAGAGCTCAGGTTTGGGGAGTTGGGGAAGGAAGGAGACAGGATGAGCAGAAGTTAAAGCTAGGATTAAGAAGAGGCTGCTCTCAGGATTTCGGGATGCCCGGTTTTCTTGGGATGCTGGGTTTTTGAGGGGAAGGATTTCACACTGAATCTGCCTCCAAGCAAAGGTAGACAGCTGGAAGGAAAACTGGGAAGAGCTGCACCTGAAGCCAGACTCCTGCCCACCAAGGCAGCCAGCTCACACTTTGCAGCTTGGTCTCCCTTGGAGAAGAGGGATTCACTGCTGGAAAGGAACCAGCCTGTTCCCGGTTTTGGGGAAGCCAATCCAGGGGTTTGGGCAGTGGGGGCTCACCTGCTGCCGGGCAGGGAGGCCTGGCGGGGCCAGCTCCATCACCTTCCCTGACA